AATTCTGAATTTGTGATTACTTATTTGATTTCATGATAAATTTATGACTCTTTGTATCAGTGTATCATGTATGTGTATCAATGATTCAAATCAATGTCCCTCATGAGGCTGGGAACTGGAAAACTGGAAAGTGCTCATCATGGCTAGGTAACATTTTAAATGTTGCTGCCATTGAGCTCAAGTATCAGTATAAGTATTCACTATGCAATAATCAATAGTGATTTGTTCTTAGTTCTGACTTCTGAGTAGGTATCTATATAACTGTATAAGTATTATTGTGCAACGATGATGCTTCCACCATGTTCTCTGAATATATAGAATTGGGTTTGGTATGTTGCCTATGAAGTGTGATATTTATGCCATACTCATTGAGTAATGTGCCTCAAATCCTAACTTGATATGGAAAAAAAAGCTATCTAAGCACTTTTTAGTAGTTTAGTCTATAATCCATGCATTAAATTATGAAATGTTTTGAACTTATTATGTTTTTATGTTATCACTTATCAGGAAGAAGAATAGACTGCTCAATATTAGATAATCATATATTCATATGTTAGTTGTATATTGGGTATTTGGACTTTTGGACTTTTGGTATTTGGATTTCTGGTTTTCTTTTGCTCCATGGCTGATGGCTGATGGCTGATGGTTGATGGCTGATGTCTGATGGTTGATGGCTGAATTGCTGATTGCTGCTGCATGGAGATTGGAGAATGATGCTGAATTGCTGATTGTTAAATGCTAATGCTGACAGGCTGTTATTTTGCCTTTGAAGAATTGAAGTTCTAACTCAAAGTTTTAAATTTGTAACTTAATCTGTAAATTTGTATGTTTTGAACTTTGAGTTCTAACTTGTAAGTTAGTTAATTTGATTATATGTTCAATATTTTCTAAGTTTACTTAAGTTATTTTTGCTGTTAAGTAGTTACTAGTTACTAGTTGGGGGCTTAAAATACTTAAGTGTTCAATGAAACTGTGAAACATGTATAAAATTGTTTTATTTGAAGTAAAATTTTTAATTTTAGAAGTTTTTTTTTTTTTTTTTTGGAAAACCGAACTAGTCCGACGGATACATCGGATCGGATATCCGTCGGAGTAGTTCGGACAATTATCTGACGGATATTCCGACATAATTGAACGGATAGGATGTCACTTTCAAAAACCAAAATTCGATTGGAGTGATCATGCGACACCCCGATCCGTCCGAACCCGTCCGACACACAGCCTTAAATTGTAGGGAGAAAGATAAAGCAAATGTGAGAAAATTGATTGTGTTTCTTTGTAAAACAAATCCACATATGCAAATTTTGTATGATATGTATGGGTCAGATCATAAATACAGGCTAGATTGACAGTAATTTTAATAGTGAGTTGAAGGGGCAAATTGACTAAAATTAGTTTAAGTTATTCTAATGCTGACCATTTAAAAAATAAAAAACATAAGGCAAATTGGCAGAATTGGAATAACATAAGGATCAAATTGACATTTTAACCCTCTGACCATTGTGTGTTGGAAAAAATAACATAAAATGATATTTTGAGTGACTATTTTATGGTACAAATATATATGAGTTCACTTCTGATTTGGGTCGGGTCAATGTGGATTCAAATTCTTTGTAATGAGATGAAGAGATCAATATACTGTACACTCAAAACAAACATAATGGATGGATGAGAAATTTATTTTCAAAGTAGTATAAAAGTTTGTAAGTAGCATTTGTTCGACATTGAAAAAAAAAAAGTTTGCACCACTATAATATACAATACCCTTCTAGAAAAAGTTTAAATTGTATAGCTTAGAGAATCTCTCTCACGTGCACCCAGAGAAGTGCAAATCAAATCCCAATAAATTATGCCAATTTATCTTCTAGTTTGCCGACTTTTAAGTGTGGATACTTACAAAACCCGTATTCCTTTCATTCCTTGTGCTTGTAATTTTTTCCGATTTCTCTTCTAGTTTGCCAGCCTTTTTAAGGATAAGTGTGGGTACTTACAAAACCCGTATTCCTTTCATTCCTTGTGCTTGTAATTTTTTCCGGAACTAATATTTTTCGTAAGTATTATAGTTCCACCTCTTACAGATAGAACCAACAAATATAAACAATACTTTGATTATTTTTTATCATATCAACTAACATTAAATTTTAGAATCTTGAAAGAAGTCTTTGAGTGTATAAAGTATAATTCTCGTACCTAATGTCATGAGTTCGATTTTTATTTGTCTTCTTTTAGTTAGTTTGTTAGCTATAGCTAGAAGTGTTAAACAGACGGGTTAGCCCGAAGTCCAGTCCATACCCGATCCAGTTCGGTCCATTTGCTACAATGGGCAGACTAGGACTAGCTTGTTTTATATTATGGATTTTTAATTTTTGGCCCATGGACTAGGCCGGCCCATTGGCCCATACAATTTTTTTTTTTTTTTGAAAAATATAATATACATATATACTCTAATAAAGTAATCACTCATGAGATTATCACATTAGAAACTATGATATTGGTTATGCCTATTAAATTCTTACGGATTGTCGTATTTACTATTTAGCTATTTAACTGTCTAACTAGTATACTAATTAGTAATTACTACCTTAAAATATTTTAATGTTGTAAAATTTTATTTATTTCAAATTGAAAACATTACCCTTACTACTTAGTAGTTAGTAGTTGCAATTTGTAAACTTATTCTTATAATTTCATTAATGGTATTACATTATTAATTTTTTATTTTTTTATTTTCTTGTAATATTTCTTAAGTTAAACATCTGAAAATAAATACGTAAACTTGTAAAACTAATTTAGAAGGAATACATAACTTAAATTAGTTGATATATCCGGGTTGAATTTCTATTTGGAAGATTATGAGTTCGAGCCTCAATGAAGGCGTTATTGGTTCTTTGTTTCAAAAAATTAGTTGATATATAATTTTAATATTTTTATTTTTTTTAATCTTTAGGGCTATGAAACGGGCCGGATTTTAATTTTAATTTTTTTTTTGACCGGACCAAGTCTGGTTTGAAAATTGAATTAGGCCGATCCAATCTAAAAAATAAACAAATTAGTGGTAGACCGTACTGAACCGGTTCAAGTTCGTCTATTTGACCGCTCTAGCTATAGCTAAGCACATGTTTCAACTTTTCCAATCATTATTGTGTGAACCATGGCCCATACAGTTGGGTGGATCATACTATTAAATAATGTATAATCAGTACATAAATAATGTACTTTTAGTATATTAAAAATGTATATTGCATTCAGAAAAAATACATTATATAAGTACTGAAAGCATATTATAAAATACATTTATTTTGTATAATGCATATTCAGTACACAAATAATATACTTTTAGTATATATAAAAATGTATTAATTCTTTTACGCGCTTTGCGTGAATGTAATAATGCCCAATGATTATTTTTAAATAAGAATTTCAAAGTATATCAATGCAATATTATATCGGAGGTGTTCATGCATAGGTAAATAAATATTGAATTTGTTTATTTAAATCGGTAATTTAAAGTATATAAATGCGAGATAATATATGAGAGATTGATTATATTGTCACTAAAATAGATGTTTGCAACGAACTTTGTAATAACGTTAGTCAAAATACTTAGTCTAAAAATGATAATCTAAATAAATACTACTTTTGGTTTAAATTTTTCTAATTTTTCTTAATTCTCTTTTGGGTAGCATTATATTGTCATTGTCTTCATCTTCAGTACATGTCCCTTTTTTTATTATTGGTAGTGTGTCATGTGCAATTGGGTTACTGACTTACTGGTGGTAGCATAGATGGATTCATCGTGAAATGAGATTATGGTGTAGGAAGCTTTAGATTTGTCTTGTTGTGTATATGACGAGATCTTAGTTGTACTATTAACTTACAAATTTCTTTAGAAGTTTTCAAGCAATGGATAAAATTTTGATGTGTAAACTTGTCCTATTGAAGCCAATGAGATGTCAACATTGTCAATTCTTTGGAAATTGTCCTACTGTTTTAGAGTTCAGATGTAATTTTATTTATGATCAACAACTTTGTAGTTAGGTCGCGCAGGTCTGACAATGATGTAAGAACAATTTTGTCTGATAAAAAAATAATAGTATAATATTTGTAAAGTAATGTACAATTGCACCATTATAAAAATACATACAAAAAATATTAATGCCATAACGACATAAATCATACCAATAATACAAAAGTATAATTGAAATATTAAGTTTTGTTCTGATCTAAATAATCAAAAGAAGATTAATTAAATAAAAAAAAAACTTAACCTAATTTTTTTTTAAATACATAAAAATCAAATGATTTTTAAGGTTCTTGATTTATAATCTTTGATGCTTAACTTTGAATGTTATGTATTTAGTGACTAATTATTTGACCAAAGTTTATGTTAAATTTTATATTATATATTTTTAATACATTTTAACATATTCGTAGTATATGTTTAACAATTATACCAACTCTAATTGGGATGAAGTTTGAACCTAAGACCTTTCTTATAAAAATTAATGAGTAAGTTAAAAATAATAAATAGTTAACAGAATATTCCGTTACTAAAGTTTATATTAACGGAATTTAGGTTATTTAAGGGAATAAAATAATATAATAGAGGGTAAATAAGGAAAATCATTAAAAAAAAATACTAAAATCAAAATAATATGAACCATTAATTTTAAGAAATAATACTACCGACATTTTTTTTATTTCAATTAAGGGCCTAACATTATTGACACTTATTAGAATTATTATTATAGATTATAGATAGATAAAAAAAATAATATAATAGAAGGTAAATAAGAAAAATCATTAAAAAATACTATAATATGAACTATTAATATTAAGAAATAATACTATCTAATTTTTTTTTATTCCAATTAAGGATTTAATATTATTGACTCTTATTAAAATTGTAGATATTTTGTTATGGTCCACACGATATGATCTACACAATAATTTGCCCAACTTTCCACATCAAGTCATCACCCCTAACGCAGTAACTCCCTAGTCCCACGCGGGGGCCGGGGGCTGCAAATTGCCGGTGGCGCAATAAAGGCAAACCAAAGTAGTGAAGACGCCATGGATGCACGGCAGTTGTGTAGCGTTGACGGAGACCAGATAAATATTAAGGTCATGAATAGTAAGTTGTCGTGATGGCGTGACGAGGTCAAATCGTATTATTTCGTCGTTAACAGGTCCAAGAAGATACGCGCACTCCATTTCAAAACCGGCATTTTTTAGAAAAGTCCGTGCACTTTCTAAGCTAATTTATATTTTTAATTAGTTTTTCCTCTTCTTCGCTTGTCCTCCATTACCTCTTGCCTCTTTCAGTCGTTCTTCTCCTAGATTATCTGATTCTCAGTCAAGAACCCATTAGAAACTTGAATTTCTGGGGTTTTGACATTTCAAAATTTGATCCAAGTTCTTATCTTGGTTATAATCTTCAACTTCCATTCAATTTGGGTTCCTTCAGGTTTTGATAACTTTCTTTCCCCATTTTTATAATCTACATACAAGGGGTTTCATACCTTTCATTGGCTCCAAAATCTAAACTTTGGATATATCCTTACTTGAATGTTCATTTATGTTAGATTTCGAGTTTTAGAAGTCAAACCCCTTGAAAGTCAACTTATTGATTTTAATATAGTTTCCTAATTGCATTCTGGTTGGATTCTTGTTAAGAAACCCATTATTTTCATCTTTGGTCCTATCCATTTTTAGAGTTGTTGATCACAGCGTTGTTGGTTTTCCCCATAAAAGGTCCGATCTTGAAGCTGGGCGCATGTGTTGTGTGATTTTGTTGGGGTAAAAATGAAACTTTTGGTACGAGTAATCGAAGCTCGAAATATACCTCCAATGGACCCGAATGGGTTCAGTGATCCCTATGTGAAATTGCAGGTAGGGAAGCAGCGGCACAAGACTAAAGTGGTGAAGAAATGTTTGAATCCCTCATGGTGTGAGGAGTTCGTCTTTCGGGTCGATGACTTCAAGGAAGAGCTTCTTATCTCTGTTCTGGATGAAGATAAGTACTTCAATGATGATTTTGTTGGTCAAATTAAAATCCCCATTTCTCAAGTTTTTGAAGCCCCAGATAAGTCCCTTGGCACTTCTTGGTACCCTTTGCTGCCAAAGACTAAGAAGGCTAAGAATAAAGATTGTGGTGAGTTATTGCTTATAGTTTCTTTAATTTTTCTTGACCATTGTTTTGTGATCATACATTAATTTGTGTTTTATGAATTGATATAAGGATTGTATGCAATCAATTTGTTTTACCCAAATGGTTGATTCTATGTATTTTAGGATATTAATTCTGCTGTGTGATTTTGGTAGCCATGTGATTCTATAGATACTCTGTGAAATTTATAGATCTTCATGATGCCTTGATTAGCCAATGTAGAGTTTAATTTCGCTTTTATATTCTAACAGGACAAATTCTTCTCACTATATGTTTCTCGCAAAACAATTTGTTGGGGGACTTGCAATCTAGTGGAGATTCTACTCCGTTACCGAAGAAGTATGCTGATATGGCAAGTGAATCCCCTTTGAGGCCTTCCAATGCCACTTTGAGATCACCTTCTCCGATGAGGTTAGAAGAGCCTGTTTCTTCGAAGGAGGAAAAGTCACACGCACAAACCTTAGCTGGTCGATTTTATCAAATATTTAACAGAAATAGCGATGGAGCACCTACGACTTATGCAAAATCTACAGATACGTCTGAATTGTCTGACAGTGTGAGTACAGAGGATAATGAGGATGCACCTGAGGAGCAATCTTCATTGGTGAGTTTCGAAGAAATGGTGAGAAACGTGGAAATGAGAGAACAAGGTAGCGAAGTTCCAAGTAATCTCCCGGGAGTAGTTCTGGACCAGTTGTATGCCATTGCACCACGTGAACTGAATTCAGTGTTGTTTTCACCCGACTCAAACTTTCTTAAGTCTTTCATAGATTTCCAGGGATCCACGGAACTGAAAGTAGGGCCTTGGAAGTTGGAGAATGGCGGTGTAAATTTAAAAAGAGTAGTCACTTTTATTAAGGCTGCAACTAGATTGGTCAAGGCTTTGAAAACAACGGAGGAGCAAACTTATCTGAAGGCTGATGGGAAGACGTATGCTGTACTAGTTACTGTAAGCACACCCGATGCTCCATATGGTAACACTTTTAGAACCGAAATGCTTTACTGCATCACAGCTGGGCCCACTCTGCCTTCAGGAGAAGAGTCTTCAAGACTGGTAGTTTCGTGGCGGATGAATTTCTTGCAGAGCACTATGATGAAAGGTGTGATAGAAAATGGAGCACGGCAAGGTATAAAGGAAAGCTTGGAGCAATACGCGGGTTTATTGTCTCAGACTGTAAAACCCGTAGATGAAAAGGAGTTTGCTTCAGAGAAGGAGCAGGCTTTGGCATCACTTCAAGCACAGCCACAGTCAGATTGGAAACTGGCTGTTAAATACTTTGCCAATTTTACTGTAGTATCAACGTTTGTCATTGGGTTGTATGTGGCTTTGCACATCTTGCTAGCAATGCCTAGCACAATTCAGGGACTCGAGTTTGTTGGGCTTGACTTGCCTGATTCTATTGGTGAACTGATTGTTTGTGGAGTTTTGGTACTGCAAGGGAAAAGGGTGCTGGAGTTGATATCACGCTTTATGCAGGCAAGAGGACAAAAAGGTATGGATAATTAATTGGTGTTCAGATGGCTACATTTAGAATCAATGTGCCTTTTTAGATAAACAATTAAACACCAATGACCTTGTGGTCAAGTGGCACCAAGTTGCTCTCCCATATGGGAGGTTGTGGGTTTGAGCATCAGTTGGGGCGATATTGACTCTTTGTGCTTTAGTAGGTTGAGAAAGTAGTTATGAACAAATACTGCATTGTAACAAAGTCAGTAGTATTAAAAAAAAAAAAAAGATGAACAATTAAACAGTGATGGTTTATGAAAGAGTTTGATGATCTGAAATCTTGTTAGCACCAATGGGTGCGTGTGTGTGTGTGTGTTCCCTCTATTCCTTTCCATCGTTTGTGATTATTACCATGTAATATGTTTCATTTCCCTTTATCTAAAGGTGGTGACCACGGAGTCAAAGCACAAGGAGATGGTTGGTTGCTGACTGTTGCATTGCTTGAAGGAGACAATTTGGCAGCTGTTGACCCAAGTGGGTTCTCTGATCCATATGTGGTTTTCAGTTGCAATGGAAAAACGAGATCCAGCTCGATTAAGTTCCAAAGTCCATGTCCTAAGTGGAATGGTAAATATATAGTTTTTTTTTTTTTTTTCCTCAAGTGCCTATATCAACTGAAGGTGACTATAATTGTTTTTGTTGTAATCATCATTTGATGCAGAAATTTTTGAGTTTGATGCAATGAATGAGCCGCCATCCGTGTTGGATGTGGAAGTTTATGATTTTGACGGTCCTTTTGATGAAGCTACTTCTCTTGGACATGCTGAAATTAATTTTTTAAAAACGAATATATCAGATTTGTCTGATATCTGGGTTCCTCTTCAAGGGAAGTTGGCTCAAGCATGTCAGTCTAAGTTGCATTTAAGAATTTTCTTGAATAATACAAAAGGTAACAATATTGTCAAAGATTATTTGTCCAAGATGGAGAAGGAAGTGGGCAAGAAGGTATGCACCAAAGGGAAATTTTTCCTCTCAAATGCTTTTCTTTTTATGTATTCATTCTGTCGCCTTCCTATTAATTTTTCAATTTCATATAAAATGTTTTGTAGATAAGATTAAGGTCTCCTCAAACAAATTCAGCGTTCCAAAAGCTGTTTGGGCTTCCACCTGAGGAGTTTCTGATCAATGACTTCACTTGTCACTTGAAGCGCAGAATGCCCCTTCAGGTAGTTATCATTGTTAATTTACTTTGTTCTATATAATCAATGTCAATTGTTTGACATTATAAGCACTCTTCTCTTTTTCTTCACGTTACACTATGATGTACTTAGGAAGTTAGAAATAAGGTTGTCTATCTAGGATGCCATGCCTATGATGCTTGCTACTCCCTCCGCCGCAAAATGGTTGCCATATTTACAGTAGACAGATTTAAGGAAAATGAAGTTTTGCCCATAAAAAGTGGTGAACTTTTTGACTGTTTAACTTTTATTAGGACAAACCAGCTTGGTTGGCGTGAGTGGCCGTGCACTCTTGTCCCTTAAGAGAGGTCGGGAGTTCGAACCCCCTCTAATATGGAAAAACCCATCTGGCCACCACTTTGCCCCTTTAATTGGGCTGGCCCGGTGCGAACGGAGATTAGTCTGAGTATTGTACGGGCTTAAAGGTGCCTCCTACAGTTAGGCCTTGCTCAGGACACCTCGTGGTCTGACCAAAAAAAAAAAAACTTTTATTAGGACAATGTAGGAAAGTAGAACTATTTGTGGTGTTTATTCTAGGAACTAGGAAAGTGGACAACATTTTGGGATGCACTAAAAAGGAAATGTGGGAGGAACGGACCAATTTGGGATGCTGATTGTATTTCATTTCATCTTTTGGTTGATTGTTGACTCTCTCCTTGAATTTTAATTGTTTTTGAGCAGGGCCGTCTATTTTTGTCTCCAAGGATAGTTGGGTTTCATGCTGATCTGTTTGGACACAAGACAAAATTTTTCTTTCTTTGGGAAGATATAGAAGACATTCAAGTCATTTCGCCTACTTTGTCTTCAATGGGTAGCCCTATTCTCGTCGTGACACTAAAGCCAGGCAAAGGATTTGATGCAAGGCATGGTGCTAAGACTCAGGATGAAGACGGAAGGCTAAAGTTCCATTTTCAATCTTTTGTGTCTTTCAATGTGGCAAATAGGTAAATATAAGAAGCAAACAACTTCTGTCCTCTTTTTACCTTTCAAAACGATAAATTTATCTGAATTTATACATCCTTTCTTGTTTCACTGTACGGGTTCTCCTTTCTTTGTATTTGAATAATATCGTTTTGGTTGTATGTAGAACAATCATGGCATTGTGGAAGGCAAGAGCTTTGAGCCCCGAGCAGAAGGTACAAATAGTTGAAGAAGAATCAGAGGCGAAGAGACTTGAAATATCCGAAGACGATTCTATACCCAAAAACTTACAAGCTGTGGATGAAGAAACTGAAGGAAGAAACCTACATAGCGAAGATAGTGGATCATTCTTGGGAGACGGGGATGTGAACATGTCTGCTGTTTATTCCTCTGTACTTTCGATTCCTGTGAGTATTCGTATACCTTTTTCTCGGTTCCATTTTATGTTTTCATGCATGGGACACCATATTGCAACCTTTACCGTATAAAATTAAAGTTTCCTTTTTTAACTTTTTCTTTTTCTTATAAATGTGCAGACAGATTTTTTCATGGAATTATTTAGCGGGAATGAAATTGACCGGAGAATTATGGAGAGAGCTGGATGCCTTAGCTATTTGCCTAGTAGTTGGGAATCGGAAAAGACTGATGTTTACCAAAGGCAACTTTATTACAAATTCGATAAGCGTATATCAAGTTATGGAGGCGAGGTCACTAGCACACAGCAGAAATCTCACCTTCCCGAGAAAAATGGTTGGCTCCTAGAAGAGGTGATGACACTTCACGGGGTTCCACTTGGCGACTATTTCACTGTACGGATCCTTTCCCTACTTGGTTGCCTCGATCATATTCTCGTTAATATGTGTATGTATGTATGTATCGAGTCTTTCCACTATTGACTCTTTTCTTTTTGTATTTCTTCAGCTTCATTTGAAATATCAGGTCGAGGATGTACCCTTGAGATCATCAATATGCAGTGTTAACGTACAGTTTGGGGTGTCGTGGTTGAAATATACCAAACATCAGAAACGGATCACGAAAAACATCGTTTCCAATCTGCAAGAGCGTCTCTCGGTGATGTTTAGTGAACTAGAGAAGGAATTTTGCTCGCGGAAGTAGAAGATGTTTCATACACCGTGGCTATTTGTAAATTTAATCGGGTATGCAATTCCCCAACATTCTTTCCCGTTTAACATTTGACTGATGAAGCAAGGAACGGAACTGGAATGTTCGGTTTTTCACCGGATTTCCATTTGAGAGACTATCACATTGTATAGCTGCTCGATCGAGGCGACTTGGATTTATGTACTCATATTTATAGCAGAGATGTAGGCAGGAAGGTTGAGAAAATGTGATTGATAATCTGCAACCCTTTTTTTGGCAGATCTCAGCAGTTAAATTTGATTTCTTAATTCAATTATGATACAATAGAATAGGTAGAAGTATTAGATTATAGTGTCATGACAGGAAACTTTTTGTATGCATGTAAAAATATTTGTTAAATTAATTAGATATTTGTTTAAAGGAAAACATTAGTGCATACATGTGTAGTAAAAGTTTTGCTTTGTACTACATATACTTTTCATAATATTGTGCAATTTTTTTTTTATTGTTTTACATTTGATATTCGAGATGTGACTTGTGGACAATTGAACATATTGACTTTGTTGTAGAATGATCACGGTTTGGTTCAGATGCATCGATTCGACTTAAATGCATTGGTAGGATATCATATTTTATTCTTACAAAATATTTATATAATATATTAAATAATTGAAATCCTCATCAATCATATTCAATATTCAACCATTTACACTATCAAATATATATTTTTTTGAGTACATGAAATATATAATTATATTTAGTTGAATAAAAATTACTTCATTTTGTTGAAATTCAAACATATAAAAAAAATATTAAAATTTTTAAAAACACTCACAACATTTGAGCTACAAGTTTTAAAAGGTGAAAAAAAAAAGAACAAATCCTAAGGATTGAAATGGTGTATGGAACGCTAAGAAGAAAATGGTAAAATTAGAAAGTATTTATAAATGTAAAAGCTAAGAAAGAAAGCTCAATGCGTAAGTTATCAATGTAACCAATTACATTAACATGATTTTAATTCTTATTAATTATAACTCAACGATATATATATATATATATATATATATATATATATATATATATATATATATATATATATATATATATATATATATATATATATATATATATATATATATATATATATTTGGTAGAATAACTCAACGATATTAAGCTTAATATTAAAAATGATTTGTATTAGTACAAGAAAAAGAGTATAAGGTACAAGCCATTAGTGCAATCTATTAGACTATCACAATTTTTATTTCCGTTATAACCTAACATTATATGTCATGTTTACTTTAATTTATGCGTTTTCCTTTGTGCCTGAATATCTATACCAGCGCTGAGATTGTCCTCTTCAATGGTTTTGGAGGTATATTTATCCTTTCATGAAACTCTAGAAACTGTATCAGTGAACATAGAAGGATACAATTTAGCACTAAAAACTCAAAGGGCATGTTCAGAAGCAGGCATGGATGAATGATTAAAAAATACAAATTAAAAGTAGAACTTAAATTATTAGTTACCATTATCTGTTTCTTCAAAAGTTCATTCTTCTGGTATAGCTTCAGATACATTGAGTTCATACGAGCTTCCCGAGCCTGGTAACAAATATCAATGCCAGGGAAACTGTCAGCTAAAGCTTTTAGTTGAGATGGAGCACATGCTTGAATTTGGTATTAGAGCCAATATACAGTTCAGCTATCAGCTTAGACTTTTAGTTGAGATGGATTATATAGCAGAATATAATTAATAAGTTCATTACTAGCTTCATGTCATGTGCTTTTGCTGCGGTTTCTCTGTTCTTGATCTTGTTTTCTTCCCTCTTGCGAGCGGTCTCTTCTTCGTTCAACTTCACCCCTCTGTACTTCCTTTTAATCCTTTTCCTGCAGGGTGTGTTCTTATTATTAGTTTGGCCGCAGAAGAAGTATCTCACAACAGGACCACTTCCAACATTATTGCACCAGAAATCATTGTAAGATTGTGTTGGACACATGTTGTTATCATCAGCAATGCTAAACTCCCATGTTTCCTGTCTCAATTCGTCGATCATCTCCTGCGTTTCCTCTTCGCGTTGACCTTCAGAGGCATCCATATCGGGTTGGCATGGAGGCAACTCTGCTGTTTCGAACTCCTCGAAATCCTGTAGAATCAGGTTAGTGATGGACCCTGACTGTGAAGGGTCATTAGCATTATTGTGTTTTGAGTGAATGAAGGAGAAAAAGGTGTCTATGAAATCTTCATGATTTGCTGGATCATTTATGTCTTGAATGCCTGTTTTTGTTTTCTGGAATTCATCAATATCTTTTGAGAACTTGTCAAACAGGTAATCAAAGCCCAAGTTGTTTTCTCTAGCAGCAAGATTTGGTTCCATGGTTCTGCCTTGAAAATCAAATCAAATCAAATCAGATAAGATAAGGTCAAATTAAACTGGTTGGTGAAATTATCTGCAACTACATTGTCTGATTAATGCATTCCTTTAATTTATCAGTATTGTTAAGGTTAAGTTTAAGACTAAACCTCGGGTCTACTGGGGAGGTGAGGTTGAGTGGAAGGTCTCGAGGCCAGTTTGTCCACAATTCAGTGAGTGTCCGACTATAGAAACCTTGGGTTACACCTAAAAAAAGAAAAAAAGTGCCATGGGTTTTCACTATATTGCCATTTTCATCATTTGCATTGTGTTTATACAGGAACCCATTCTCATAATTCATAAATAATGTTTATTGATTTTTGGTTTATAAAGTTTGGGGGTTAAGTTGTACAGTGAAGAGAATAAAATTAGATGATTTCTTGATTAATGGTTAGTGTTTGGTTTGTACTCCCAGTAGCCTTCAGGGGTTCAAATATGTGTGAGGGAATATATTCAGTGAATGGAATGAATGTAAATCAATTTACTCATATTCTGTAGAATATATTATAGTTTTTCGTGATCATCCAATGCTACCAAAACTACTACGGAGTACATAATTTCATCATTAAAAGTGGTGTTTCTCCACAAACTGTGTTTATAAGTTATTGAAAAAAAAGTAGTGATTTCCTATTAGTCCAAAATGAATTTAGAGTGCATGGTTATTGTCAAGTTGATCAAAATGTGTTGGTGCTAGAGGTGGCCTGGCCAAATCCCGGGCAAATTATTGTGTGGATGGTGGTCCACACAGCTGTATGGACTACGGTCCAAAACGACGTCGTTGAATTTTATGAGTTAGAATAATGTACATTATGAGTTAGAATAATGTACTTTATTTGTTAGAATAATGGACATGATGTGTTAGAATAATGAAACTTATGAGGTAAGATAATGTATTTTATGAGTTAGAATAATGTACATTATGCTTTAGAATAATGTACATTATGTGGCGCGGGGCAGAGGCGGATGGCCCGACACCATCCTTCTTCTTCCGGGCGTTGTCAGGGCCTTTGGCGTGGTCTTGCCCCGATCTCTTCACGTATTGGCCTAGGTATCCCTGCTGGATGAGCTCTTCGATCTGCCTCTTGAGGACCATACACTCGCCCGTGTCATGCTCACGCTGCCGATGGAAACGACAATACTTCTTCGGGTCAGCCTTGGGGAAGATCTTCAAGCACTCCTCGGGGAATGACACGATGCCCATGTCCTCCGCGTGGTCCAGAATGACACTCACGGGCTGGGTTAGCGGGGTCAGGTGTCGCAGTGGGGCTAGACGGGGACCCCGATCACGGCGTGATCGCGACGGGCGGCGGTCCTCTTGAGGTTGAGGTGCCTTGTCCTCCGGCCCCAGCCTTCCTCCTCCTCCTTCTTCCTCTTTTCCGCCGCCTCGGCATTGGCATATACCGCGCGGCGCGGTCCATCAATTCCTTGTACGTCTTTGGCTCGTTCCGGACGAGGTCGCTGTGGAAAGGACCGGATCTGAGGTTGTTGGTGAAGAATGGAATGCCAGATCTTTCGTCGAAATTGGTCACCGCCATGGCCTCCTTCTTCCACTTGCTTAGGTACTCCGCCAAGGTCTCCGACCTGTGCTGCTTCAGGTAGCACAGGTCGGCGAACTGTTTCCTTCGTTGTATGCTGCCCGCGAAGTGTGACATAAACTTTTTGGCTAAGGCGGTAAAAGTGGGGATGGACTCCGCCGACAAGGACCCGAACCAGTCTTGGGCCTGACCGTCCAGAGTTGTGCAAAAACCGCGACACATGATGGCGTCATTGACACCTGTCATCATCATGACCGCCTTGTACTTGTTGAGATGATCCCGAGTGTTCGTCGCCCCTGTGTAGGGTTTGATGGCCGGGAATCGAAAGTCCCGAGGCAAGGGCTTGGCCATTATGCCCTCTGTGAAAGGTGTGGCTAGAGCATCTCGAGGATCCGGTGACTCGTCGCGCGCCTCGATCTTGCGCTGCAACTCGCGCATCCGCCTGCGTAATTGATCCATCTCGTCACGCTAGGAGCTTGGAGGTCGACCCCTGGTCTCCCCCGAGGGCTCTGGTGGTGGGGTCGGCTCCCGCAGCCTTGGAGCACGAGGTTCATGGCTCCGGGACCTTTGCGAACACAACGACTCCGCCGGTCGAGCGTTTGCAGCTGGCCTCGGCCCTAGGTGGTCTCGCGCCGGTACCCATGGGCCCAACTACCCGAGCGCGGATGTGGTCTGGGTCGGCCGAGTCTTCCTCTCCTCCCGTTGCTCGTGCCGGCCTCTGCTAGTCTCCGCTTCGCCTCGCCTCTCCGACGGTTGCGGCGAGTTGACTTCTCCGTCTGCCAGCGCCCCGGGTGCCCGGGGCACGTGGCTGCTCAGACCACCGCGTCCCCTCGGAGGGTGCGGAGGTGGAGGTGCTGGGACACCTGGCCGGAGCCCCTCCGCGACGCGGTTCAGCGCGGTCGCCGCCTGCTCGAGTGCGGCCACCTCTTCTTGGGGAGTTGGAACCGGGGGCGGGACGGGTGGCGTCGACCCGCCTTGAGGGCGGTTGTTGCTGAGCCGACCCCGGAGGTCCTCCGTTATCCCCTGCTGGTTCCCGTTGATCTGATCTCTGAGGTCCCCTCCCGTCCCTACGGGCACGGTCTGCCGACTTGCCGTGGTCCCGTTAGGGTGATTGGCGAGGGAGAGGTCGCGTGTGTTGCGTGAATCATGCGAATTGTGGGTGTTCGACCCAGATCTCGTCATCGCTGTGGATGAATGATAGTAGGGAGAACGCTTAAACGTGTACATCCGCTCTCAACAAGAGCACCAATGATGGATTATATGAACCCGGGGTCCGGATTATACAACCCGTGTATATGATTGAATATAAGGAACGAATAATAAAATGATAATAGGGGTAGGAATAATGTATTAATGGAATGTATAACGCTATTACAGAGGTTCAGAACGTGTAATAACGAGACAAGTGTAGTAAGAAAATAGAAGATGCTTGAATAGGACACCGGGGAGGGTTTTTATACTCCCGATCGCTGCTGGCCCGGGATACGCGGGAGGATTCACAACCACCGCCACGAGACTCGCTCCATGCGAGGATCCGGCCCCTTGAGCAAGCCTGGGGCTCGGCCAAGGGGCCGATCATGGACTCGGCCGAGCCCATGGGGGCCGAGGCCGAGTTCGTGAAGGCCGGCTCCACAGTGAGCCGATCCATTCCGGGCCGACCCCGGGGTGGTTCGCCACGCGTCACGGGTAACTCGCTTAATCCCGGGTCTGACCCGCTCCGTATTGCTTCACTCCAAACGTGCTCCGTGATTATTCCATCACATGGCTTCTCCTAGAGAACAGCGTATCCACTGAACCACGAAATTATGGTACTAAAAGTCCCGATGACTTTTGTTATTTGTTGTATGGGTGTTTTACGAAATGTTTGAGAAATCATGATAGTATGAGCAATAGATGTTCGGTAGAGAAAGATGAAGTATGTCTTGTTAAATTTGGGATCTCTATTGACAAAAACTAGAGCTGTTCTAAGTTTAAGTATAGTTATGAAGTGAAAGTGTTGAGAGTATCATATGGGGTGGCGGATGGGGTAAGAAATGAATTAGACTTGATTTTGAATGCAGGCTCAAATTAAACCACCGTGGAGCATGTAAAGTTTATGGCTTTTGGTATAATGTAGATGACAATTGTGTGTATTTAGTTTGTCAGAGATTTCAGGGGAGTGTAAGTATGTTAACTCATTTGATTGCTGGTGAAAGTGGGGAGGAGAAGGTATGTATGAAAAGTTGGGTGGTACACTGTGTGGAAGGAGAGGATTGTTTCTTTGTTTGTATGTAAACTGGGACCTAACTTTATTTTCTTAAATTGACTACTCTTCATTAACTTTAATGTACTTTCTCACTGTGGATATGTGATTTTTTTTTTCTGTTAAAAATCTAAATGCTCAGTGAAACTACGCATTGTTTGGCACTTATGGTGCTTATCGAGAATTATTGTTTATTCCTCTTGTTGACTCAAAGTGTTTTGTCAAAGTTGTGCAAAAAGAATTCCAGTTCTATAAAGGAATATCAGTCATAAGAGGAATAGCTAATGAAGAATACTAGTTCTAAAGGGAATTGTTATTGAAGTTTTTCTAGTTCTAGTTTGATTAGGAATAGCTTTGTTATTCACAAATATGTTAGGAGTAGTTACTATAAATAGGGATTGCCCTTTATTGTAGAACTCAAGCATTCAACATTAATCTTGTGAGGTACGAGAGTCTTTGAGAATAGGATACTAAATTCCCCTAGAAAGTAGTACATGTGTTTAGGTTTCAATAGTTTGGTAGGAAAGATCATTCTATTGTGTAATCTCAGGTTCCAAACAATGTACTTTAAATATTGAACTTTTAGTGGATTTAGGCAAGTTCTCAAATTGAGAAGTGCCTTGCAGATTAGGGTTGTTTGCCCGAACTGCGTTACAGATCGTCTGTGTTACAACGTCAGTTTCAACATCACTATGTGCTGCGCTCTACAAATTTTCAATTGGTATCAGAGCCAAACTGCTTAAGTTACTAGCAGGATCGTAATGGAGTTTCCAAGAGAAGGACTATCAAACACAGAAGGGATACAGTGCTATGAGTGCAAAGGGTTTGGACACATCCAGTCAGAATGTCCAACATACTTTAAAAGGAAGAACAAGACACACATGACAACATTAAGTGATGACTTAGACAGTGAAGAAGACACCAACACCAATTTCGTAGCATTCACCGCAAATCATGAAAATAACAACGGAGAAGATATACAAGAATTACTAGAGGCATATACTCAACTACATGCCAAATGGGAACAAAACATCAAAATAAATTTAGATCTCATGGAAGAAAATCAGTTTCTAAAAGATGAAAAAGATATAGGAGAAAAACGCCTTAAAGATACTCAGAATGAATTAATGGAGTTGAAAGGCAGAGAGGCCAAACTGTTACAAGAGATCAAGGAACTAACTGAGAAGCCTAGATCTCCAAATCCAGCATCCAATGAAAGTCAGTCTTCTAAAATTCCTGAAGTGTCGCAACATCACTTCCAACACCTAAGGAGGATCAGATGCTATTACTGTCACAGACTGCACATAAAAGCATACTGCTTCAAAAGACAAAATGATCTATATTACAGACAAATCAACAGAGATTGGTCAGTACAAAGCAAGAAAATCTGGGTAAGAAAAGATTAGAATGTTGCCTACACCTCAAAAACTAGCAAAGAACAAAACGTATGGTATTTTGACAGCGGGTGTTCAAGGCATATGACAGGAAATCCAGAAAATCTGGAAAACATTCAGTATAAGAATGAAGGACATATTACCTTTGGAGATGGAGGAAAAGGCCAGATCATTACAAGCGATATCTTGAATGTCCATGGGCTGCCTAGGTTGCCAAAAGTCCTTTTAGTACAAAGTCTAAAAACAAATCTAATCAGCATAAGTCAGCTTTGTGAAGATGAACTCAAAGTAGAATTCTCTAAAAACAATTGCACTATGTTTAATCAGAATCACAAGTGTGTGATGATGGGAAAAAGGTCAGCAAACAAATGTTATACATGGAATGGTGACCTATCTGGTTTACAGACAACTAACAAGCAAAAACAATCACGGCACCAACATATGGGACACATAAATTCTCATGACATCAAAGGGGACCAAGAAATATTCCTAGACTATTCAAGTTATTCATCAAACAGTAAGACCTTCAGTGCAGACAGTACAATGGAATCCATGAATGTGGTTATTAATGACACAATTTCAAGAATAACCACTAATGATGACGAAAGTCCCAGAGTTGTTGAAACAACTGTTCCAACACCTCTGACTACTGTTATGCAGAATCACAAAACAGAAACAGAACCAGATGAAGAAAAGGATGATGGCTCTTCAACGATCATTATGAGCCCTGTTCTGATTTCACAGGAACCCTACCAAAATATCCAAGACGAACGTGAACCACCTCCAACCTGTTTGTGCGAGACAGCCCTGGAGGGCGAGGGTGGTATGACGGTTGCAACAGAGCGTTTTCCGGCGATGATTATGTCACCGGAAATTGGAGAAATTCCAGTTTCGTCTAGGTTATCCCATGAGATCAGATCGGATATTTTAGAGATCATTTTGAAGAGCTTTCACCTGATTTTGTGCTATTTCCAAAAATTAATGATGGCGCAGAATTAGTACGTTCGAAATTCCGATCAGGAAATCTAGATGCGATCGTAAGGTAGAAGAGACCGATTGATGGAATCTCAGTGGATTCATGTTTGCATGGCCAGAATACATCTCCGATTAAAAGAATTCTCGACAGATTGTCTCAGCTTTGGCGTCGCGCTCCTCCGATGTGCAATTTCCCTTCGGGATGTCGCGATTGAGGAGAAGTGATGAAATCAAAGGCGTTGGTGGTAATAACAGAGGAAGAATAAATCAGAGGAGAAATTAGTTGTGATAGGCTGATATAATTGGGAATTTTTTTTTAAAAAACAAATCATACTCAACGATAGCACTCACCAATAACAGAGATACATGGAATCAATTAAGGGGGAGATGAGTCAAAAGTCAAAATTTTTTTTTACATGGAATCAATTAAGGGGGAGATGAGTCAGAAGTCAAAAGCTTTTTATGGAATCAAGGTTTTTGCCAAAAATTTGACAAAGGGGGAGAATGTTGACTCAAAGTGTTTTGTCAAAGTTGTGCAAAAAGAATTCCAGTTCTATAAAGGAATATCAGTCATAAGAGGAATAGCTAATGAAGAATACTAGTTCTAAAGGGAATTGTTATTGAAGTTTTTCTAGTTCTAGTTTGATTAGGAATAGCTTTGTTATTCACAAATATGTTAAGAGTAGTTACTATAAATAGGGATTGCCCTTTATTGTAGAACTCAAGCATTCAACATTAATCTTGTGAGGTACGAGAGTCATTGAGAATAGGATACTAAATTCTCCTAGAAAGTAGTACATGTGTTTAGGTTTCAATAGTTTGGTAGGAAAGATCATTCTATTGTGTAA